TCATTCCGCAGGATTTTACGCGAGAATCAGCGAGTTGGAAGACGTTAAAAGTAAAGTTTTCGAATACATCAAAGTGCTCGCACGACCCATGGTACTGTATCAACACGAACATCCAATTCATTGGAGTCCGGTTTACGTTGGCGGAAAGGTGAGCCAATCGATCTCTCGAGCGTCGAACGCACATTATCGCAGAATCGCTTCTTCTTTCTTTTCGCGTGTGTTTTGCAGAGCGGTAGATACGGTAAGGAACGCGTTGGTCAACTAACGACTTCGGTCACCGCTCCTATCTTAGATCGTCGGAATTATACGGTAACATTTTTTCATCAAAATTTGGGATCGCGTAAGATCCGACTGTTTGTAATGCATACACGTACGTATATATATACACACGTAATGTCTATACATATACTTTTCTGCTTTTTCCAATTTACCTGTCTCACACACACACACACACACACACACAGATGAAAACGGCCAATCTATTGGGTATCGTCGGCACGGACGTACCTATAGAAGAGATACAGAAGTTGGTACCACCTTACAAGGTAGGAAATTTATCACTTTCCGTTCCTTTATATCTACGAAAAAATTCCAGACGAGAATATCTCGTTGGAGGAATCATTCAGATTCATCGCAGATCGTTTTATCTTTATTCGTTGCAGTTGGGTGTTAACGGATATTCCTTCGTCGTTGACAACAACGGCCGCGTTTTGTATCACCCGGATTTACGGCCATTGGTGAGTAACGACAAGAGGCAGTCGATCTAATCTCGAAATAATTTTCCACCCACTCTCTGGTCTCGTCGACCACCACTCTACCAGTTGACACTGACATCGCGCTGTTTCTTTCTTTTTTTGCGCAGCCAGGGAACGCGGATGTAAGTAACGTTACATCGCGGAAAATTCCATTTTTTTTTTTTTTTTTTTTTTCCGCCACGACGAAAATTCGCGTCACACTCGCGTCCAAGTTGCAAAAACTGTTCTCAATGTTTCTTCCTTACAGTACGAAGAAACGTTAAAACCCACGTACGTCAACGTAGATTTGTCGGAAGTCGAACTCGCCGAGTACGACGGACCGTTGCATCCGTTGAACAATTCCCTTCTTCTCGATGTAAGTTGCCTCCGTCTGATTCCCGTCTGATCGTTCTGGACGTAGCGCGTTATACACACCCATTGTATTTGTATTTTCACTTTTTCATACCGCGATGCGTCGGCGTTGCGCAGCTGAGGCACGACATGATCGATCAAAAGGAAGGGGAGACCAACTTTGCGATCAAAATTCATTACGACGACATGGTGAGTAAGAAGATGGTATCGTAAGCGTTACACGCGCGCGCGCGCACACCCACCCAC